CCAATCTTGGGTACCACAACACACTTGAGCGGTAGTAAAATAGGCTTTCTCGAGTGAATCACGGAAGACTGATAGAATAATGAGGTGATCATGGGTGAGTGCTGGCCATCGAGACAGATCGAAGTAAAGAGATAAGAGAAGAAGGTGTGGTTGACAAACCCCCTCTTCCAAGGTGATGATCGAGATCAACTTCATGCTTCCAGTCAACTTGACTGGTCCAGGGAAAGAAGACAAAGAAGTTGGGAAACACAAACATTAGGGAGGATTACGGGATACAACACCGGAGAAATATTAGTCTCCTTCCCATTCGTCATTGCAGTTCTCAACACCTTTTCCCGCCGGAGCTGACGCATGTCATCCCGCAGCGGCACCGAAGAAGCTTGACCGCTCACATCTTGCTTGCTTGCTTACACGGTTGAGAGGTTGTTAGGGGAGGGGGCTGTACTCCCGTTTCTGACGATAGAAAAAAGAAGGGTAAATCACGAAACAAAAAAGAGGTAGAGGAAACAGGAAACGAAACTGGAGTATACTTTCAAAGGGGAGATGAACACCTCTACTGGTCATGTTTCCAAGCTTTACCAGTTTGCCGGAGCACCATGGACGGGCTGACTGGCCGAAGTAACTGGTTCCCATCTCCACGGGTCGAGCCATCGACAAGAGGATCAAGGTGACGGGAAGACGGGAATATAGCGGGATCCGTCGAGGGACCCGTTGAAACAGTCAAGCTGTGACAGGTGAAAAGAAGAAACCTTTTGGTCTGTTCCCTCCATACTAGTCTCGGAGATATCAACCACGACACTGGGTGTGCGTTCATCGTGTCTTTTGGAGAGTGAGAGGTGTAAGAATAGGAAAGAAAGCTGTCGCTTCATCTGATGAATGGCTTACAAACAACTCACGGATGAATTATGACGAGACACAGAGAGGCGGTATTGGTGGTGAAAAAGGCAAGAGAGGGTGTAATGGTATCATTTAAACTTGGGAAAGTTGATGATACCTCCTCGGCTCAGGACCGTCTCCCCCAACTTTGCAAGTATACAGAACAAAGGATGAACCAAACACCCCACGGAATCTCGGATGTAATTTGATTCGAAAAGCACCTCGTTCGGTCTCGTTTGTGTTCCTCAGTCGTGGCCCACGATGATGGGTCGAGGTCCATGTTCAAGAAAGAGGGGATGAAAAAAAGGGAAAAAAGGAAAAAAAAAGGCCAACCCGGGGAGGCAGCCCAAAAGCTTGGGATAACCAAAAAGCCAAGCAGACGAGTGAAAAAATTAGGAGGAAGACGATAGCTGCGAAGAGCAGGAGGGAGGGGACAAGGTTGAAAGCCAAACCTCCATGTTCAGTCAGCAAGTAGACCCAATCTTCACTCTTGATTCGTGCAAAAAACCGACAGACGGGGTGTGCGTGAGACATTGGCGCTCACCGGGGGTTGGGGAGGACTAACGGTCCATCTTCTTTTTCGTCTCTTCTCTTACTCGTCGTGTCAGAATCTGTACGCCTCGGGAATGACTGAGCGCAAGCAAGCGCGCGGGCGCGCGGCGGGACGTGTGTGTGTGTGTGTGTGTGTGTGTGTGTGTAAGTCCACCGGTGCGGCCTTGCAGGTCACGGTTCTGCGGGTTCGTCCAATTGAAAGCAGCTTAACAGAGCTGCAAGCACGACCTTGTCCCTATCACACTTTGCCTTATGACTTACATGATATTCTCTGAATGGAGAGAGAGAGATAGAGTCAGAGACGGGTAGAGAGAGGGGCGTGTTTGTATTCGATGCCTGATAACTCTGATAAGCACACAGACAGACAGACAAGACTTCAACTGCCCGCGGGTTACGGACGTTCGGACTTAGGAGGGGCGTCTGCGTCGAGATACCAACGGCGTTGTGGAATTTTTGATTTGTCCAGACCGAATAGATTATTCATTCTTCGGAACCTTTTTCATTGAGCAAGGTAGGTACTGTAGTCTCCGGACTCTAGAGTTGAGCCGTATCCCGTTGTTCGATGGGATTCAGCGGGTTCCTCTATGACACCTTGGAAAGAGAAAGAACAGTCTTTAGCGTATGACGAAATACAAGTGCTAGAGTTCTACGCTGAGTACGGCGGTACGGTCCCCATCGGATCTTATTCATGATGATCAACTAATACCTCTCGTAGTCGAGGTATTTCCTATCTCCACATGTACCTCGTAGTTCAACAAACCTTTGCAAAGCCGTGACTCGAGAAGGTCAGATCTCCGGGATTCAATAAGCCCCCAACAATCGAGACATCTCAAGAGAACACTCAAATCTCTGAACGCAAGATCTCCTGATCCTCCCGACCTAGTTGAGCCTGAGACAAACAAGACGAGACAAACAAGTACAACCACTAACGCAAGTCGAAAAAGCAGCACTCGCTCGCCCGAGATGTTGTCCCCCGAGCCGAGCGGCATAGGAGTAAACCATCGGCCTGGGCTTGGATCGGGGAAAACGCTTTCTCGTCCATCGTCCCATGGCCTGACCCGGCGTAGGGCAGAAAGGAAGAAAAACGCCCACATACCAGCGGCGCACCGGCACCACGGGAACTTGATAAAGTTGAATCTGGCAGGAGCCAAGATGCGTCCTGCAGAATGGGGCGTGTGAGATCCACGGAAGGGGATGTTTATCTTCTTCTGATTTTCCACGGCGATGGGTTGAGAGAGGGAGGGGGGGGGGGGGGGGGGTGGGGGGGGGGGGGGGGGGGGGGGGGGGGGGGGGGGGGGGGGGGGGGGGGGGGCGTCAAAGAAGGAAAAATTGGCTGGAGGAGTCCACAGTCCTTGTAAGACTGGAAGTCCAAGTATGCACATGAAAACCGTGGGCAGGAGAGAGGGAGCTCTGGACGCCCGACGTTCGGACAAGCATGGGCCAGTCAAGGACCGAAGTTCGGGCGGTCAGACAGAAACAAGACGCCCGATTTTGAGATCGTGTGGGTTAGTTCTGAGAGGAAAATGCCCGTTGATGAGGCTGAAAGCCTACGTCTGAGTTTGAGTCGTGAGTGGACAGTTAGCGATAACCACCCTCGAGTTCCCAATAGGGCCGAATGCGCTTTCTGTGGCCAAGCCTACCGCCGAGACATCGGGAACACAGCCAGAAGGAGAAAAGAATAGGACAGAAGAAAACTCCTTTGATAGACTTGTCAGACAGTTTCACCGGCAGGGGCACAGGTAAGGCTGATGAAGAAGCTGCTGGACAACGTAGCATCGCCAGACAACTGCAGCCCAAACCTGTTCCTCCCCGCCTGGACCTCGGCCAAACAAGAAGGAATATGCAGCCACGTCTGTTTATTTCCCTGTATCTATCCACTAGGATCGATCGCTAGAAGTACGAGAAGAAAGCCCCGAAGGCTACAGATGTGGCCTGTCATCTCGGGTAGGGCGCGAGCTTGGGGGGTGCCATCAATTTGCCTGCTGGATATGTGTATCCTGAGACTTTGGCCAACGATGATGACCCGCGTGTTGAAATTGAGACAAGACAACGGTCCGAAAGTTGTAGTATCAGGTGACGTGATAGGCTGAGATGCCAGCAGAGTCGAGGCTGCCTGCCTCGTCAACTCCTTGCTTTTCTGAGAGCCGCCGTCTTGGACCGATAACCTTGTTCTCGAGACGCCAATGGAAGCGTAAGGTAGGTCGAAAAAGGGCAGAGATTTGTCTTGGAGAAGGATGGGATCGAATAAGCTTCATTGATTTCTGCGGATTCATCTTCAGAAGCAAGCTGATTCAGACTCTAAAACTACTTCTGAGGTCAACATGATTTCCCGAAAGAAACAACAACAACATAGCGCCTCGTCTCAGCGCCTTTTCACTAGAACCCGATGTCAGGTAAAATTCTCCTACTTCTCGACTGCTGCTCGGTATCCGCAGCTTACAAACCCGGGTGCTCAACAAGGACAGAGCAAGTTCAAAGTCCAACCGAGTCCAAGTTCAGTTGCATATGGTTCCAGGGGCTGCTATTTCGAGAGGTGCGCTAACCACGGAAGGATTCGATCGCAGGATAGAGGCGTTCCTCCGAGAGGATTACGAGGAGGTTGTCTCGACTAGACCGGGAGCACGTCCGGGCCATAGGCTTGTAGAGTAGCCGAGCGGCCGTGGGGAAGACCACTTGGCGGCGTTGGACGTTCTGGAAATTGATCAGTGGTGCGAATGGGAGTATGCATGTAGGACAGTATAATGTCCGCCGTATCGATGGACTGATAAGTGCCACGACATTGAGAAAAAAAGCGATGGCGGTACAAGTGAGACTATTCCCCGTCAGAACTACTCGTTGGGAAGGGAACAGTACTGGATGGGGATAACCTCAGAGCGCCTTAAAGGCACCCCTCCGGTCTGGAAGGGCTCCAGACACAGAACGCCCCGTCAAGAAGGGTGACTATGGTGGTACGGAAGCGTCATTATTCTCCAAATACGACGCAGAGGTTCGCTGCCTGGCAGATACGAATTCTTTGCTATAGCGCGCGCGTGCTGTTCGTAAGTACCTGGTTGATGATTCCTATGATATGCAGGCTTCGGCAGTTCAAGGGAGCAACATCAGGTCACCCAGGCGTCATCTATCAGCATCACCACTACACATTGGCAAAAAGGCAGTACCTAGTGGTGTAATCAAAATAGCGACCAAATTGGTAAGACCCCCCGGCCTATGTTAGACGCGCTAGAGGGACGAAGCAAGGCACGCCATGCAGGCGTGGTCGGACGTCCGGTGGCACAGCCGCAGTGCCTGGGTTTGGTTGTGTCGATTCGTGAGTGGGCATTTTTAACCCGTCCTTCATTCCTCATTCCTCCTCCCCGCCTTGAACACCGTCCGGGGTGTAAGGTAAACTTGTGCGCTTCTTGGGCCCACAAAGATAGGCTCGGGCGGGCGGACGGCTGCAAATGATGGGCCCATTGTTGGTCGTTTGATGCAGGCAAGGCTTGCAGCGGTCGCCGTGGAAGCCGGCGCAAAGCTGCGCCTGGATTCCGGAACGGCAGCACAACCTTGGACCAAATTCGGCGCTGAGGGGCATTTCAGACCGGAAGGTCGGTCTTCCCAGCAGGAATGGTCGTTTGGGCTGCCGCACTGGGACTTGGAGACGCAGAAGAGTCGCGTAGTGTTCCACCTGGACCGTTTGGGCACGGCTGACCAACGATGGAGTCCGGATGCAACGAGAGAGATGACTCGTCATTGGCGGGAGACCCAAGGCTGTGGCTCTTGGCAGCACCTCGTTGCAGAGCTTCCCGCTTGAGGGTAAAGATGACGTTGATGTGTCTCATATACTGCCACCCATACTCTGGCAGAGATGCGAGGTGGTACAGAGAGGGTCGGGTATTCAACCATATCAAGAACACCATTGCTATTCGGCTCATGCATGGCTCTGGGAGGCTGGCGGGAGGGATTGAACCGGCATAATACGACATGGCGCGGCGCCGATTCCGATCGTCTGCCATTCGGACAGTCGTTCACTGTCTTGCGGCAGCCCAGGCCCATTGCTTAGCCGGGTGCAGATTGCTTTCGGAGTTGAGACACGATGGAGGGTATTCCGGCACTTGGGCAGATAATGACATGCTGCCGGGGTCTTGGTAGCCAAGCCATCAAATCTATTTCCGTGAGGGACTACGGATAGGATTTTCGATGCCCAGTTGTCTTCTGCTAGTGATTAGTCGCGTTTCGTTTCCTTCTTTTATTGGGGAGGGGGGCCGTGGGGGGTCAGCAAGCCGCTAGGCAGGAAGACAAGCATCGCAAGCTAACGTCATGTCAGGCAAAATAAGCTGTTCCTTCTAAGGGGAAAGGCGACATGGAAAGAGGGAAGGGCGTATGGACTGGGGTGTGAATCTGGCGATGTGCTGCGATGGCAGGATTCGAACCCCGCCTGTCCGCTTCGTAAAGTGAAGCGAAGGCTGAGCGAGTGAGTTCAAGCTGAGGAGGCCCTGTCCCGATGTGGTGAGATGAGATGTTGGACATGGTGACTAAACGTTTGTAACTAAGTGAGCGCCGGCCGGGACAGGATTGCCCTTGTCTCCGAGGGCCTGGGTTTGGTGAGTCCTCCCCGACCTTCCGTTGCTCGCCTCCTCCTCTACCGAATTTTGAGTTGGGCCGACGGGAGGAATTGACAGTGGGTTTGTAGGCGCTGTGAGTCGCTAGTTACTGCACTGTAATCTCACCGCTTTACCGCCCGAAGAAGAAGAAACCCCTTGTCGCCGGGGGCAACGGGGATCCAATGGGGGAGGCGGCGGGACGGACAATGCTGGCCGCTAAGGTTTGGTGGTGAAGCAGTGGTCCCGGTGGAGGATTTGCAACAGGGTAGGGAACCTACCTTAAGGTAGCAACAGGGCACCTCAATGGAGTGCCTGTGCTTAGCTACCTAAGGTTACCTTCCAGGGCAGTCAGGGCATGCGTTGGTCGGTGGTCAAAACTTGTAGGGAGCCATTTGGGCGGCGCGGACTCACCGGGGCGGCGATTTTGTGATTGGTTCACCTGCGACGCGACAGCCACTAGAGAATGCCACCACGTCTCCTTTCTTTCCTTTCTCCCCTTTCTCTTCCTTGTTTTCACCATGTCCCGCAGGCATACGAGACGACGGCTCGCATCCTACCTTATGGAAAGCAGCACGAAGGTCTATTTCGAACAATGTTCTTGTTCTAACCATTTCCTGTGCCGTCCAATGCGGGATCCTGAAGGCCAAGGCAATCCAGAACAGCACTTGCCATGCTAATCGAGAAGCAACATTCCTCGGCGGGCCGTATGTCGCAATCAATACTAGGAAGTGAACGACGAGGTTGGCTTGTTCCTTGTGTGCATAAGATCCTGCTTGCTGCCGTTGCATCTGCAAGCCATCCATTTGTGGCGTGCCGTCATCACGGATGACTTCGAGACTCGAGGATTCGGCGGCCGTCCTTTGCTTCGTTCGCCGCTCAGGCGTCGGACCCTCATCCCTAGGCAACATGAGGATCTTCGTAGATAGTCCTGCCTGGCAGAAATTCGTCGTGATCCGTCTCAAATACGGGCCTCTACAGAGCACCACCACCGCCTCAGACATCAGTTAAACTTGGCCTTCGTTGACCATAGGGCGCCGACCGCCGTTGGGTCTGGGTGTCCTGAAGAGGCTTAACGCAGCAGCCCGGGTGAGCTTGGCTGTGCGCCACCAAGCCCGTCCGTCCACGCCGCCCACGACGCCCGACTTTCAGGTGAGCGATGCGCCAGCTAGACGCATCTCGTCTACTATGTATATCCAACCGCTTATCTGGCAGTCAGCGGCGGGACATGGAGGACATGGACCTGTGGACTGTCCACAACTAGTATACCCACTGCTCCGAGATGCCGCATCCAATAGGGTGCCTCTTTTCCCCGGCTGTCCACTGCGGCGGGACAGAGGCAGACGCCAGATATTGGGACGAAAAACCAGACAAGGCCTGCATAATGTATGCGTGCCGTGTAGGTACGGATACGTCTTTACGAGGAATATGGCGTACGGGCCGACTAAGACCACGCCCTTTTTATCCACCAGAGTGGCCGCCGAGGCCCACGCCCCTCTCACCACCACATTATTGACGGACGTTGAAGCTGGCAAGTCAAGACAACAGGGAAGTGTGGAATTCTGGAAACTGGCCTGAAGAAGCGGGCGGGGCATTGCCTTGTGAGGCAGGCAATAAGCCGTTGCAAGTACCGGCCCATCCCAAAGCTTGCAAACCTTGCAAGGAGGAAGATAAGGTGACGAGAGCGACTCTGGGATTGCACGTCAAACTAGAAAAAGAAACGAATGCGCTGAGCCGTGCAGTGCAGCACCGTATACCGTAACTCGCAGCTTACGTCGGTCTGTAATTGCGTCCCATTATCGTTCAGATCGCGGCCCTGGTTGTGTCTAAGACGTGTGTAAGTCATCTAGGCCTGAGCCTGCCCAAGTAGGCGATGAGAGCTACGGTCGGATCTGGTGTGGCCGTTGCCGTCGGACCGTTGATTCGGATACCGCTTGCGGCTTCCAGGTTATTCTGGAAAAAGGAAGAGACGTGTCGGTGCTGAGAGCTGGCAGAGTCGATTAAGGTATTGTGGAAGAGGCATCTGTATCTCAGCGCAGCTGAGCAGAGGGCCCAAGACAGAGGGACAGGGCAGGGAAGTGAGGTGTGAGCTGTGCGAGTTGGTGCAAGTGCGTGGATGCGTGCGAGTGTCGGTCTGTTCTGTCAGTGTCCGTCTTTGCCATCCAAGTGTTCCCAAACGGCATGTGCCATGTATCGGACGAAAACGATACCCTCTGGGACGTGCGGCGCCGTGCTGACGCAGGTTGTTTTGCCAGCTGGGCCTGTGTTTGGTAATTGAATGTTTGGAAAGGAGCAGGGACGAAGACGACTGGAGTGGCGCTTGAGTGGCACGAGTGGAAACGTCTGTTCAGAGCGCGTTCCTGACCCTGCCGCCGCCGCCGCCGCCGCCGCTTCTGCGAGTGCCTCTGCGAGTGCCTCTGCCAGGGCGTATCGTGCATTGGGGGAAGCGTGGAATTAGGTGCAGCGCGCGCGTGTTTCCGGTGGAAGTCGACCATGCCCACAATAGACGATGGCCTGTCCGATGGCCGAGGTCGAAGCACGGCACCCGGTAGTGGAGATTTGGCTCGAGATGCGGTCCATGGCACGGCGTGGCAAGGGGCCTGGCAGACGGCGGCAAGGAGATGATCTGCAGTCCCCTCTGACTAAGAGGGGGTCGAGGCTCTGGGCCGGCTCCAGAGAATAGGAATAAGCGTAAGGAGAAACGAAGCCAAATGGGACCCCTTGCCTTAAAGCCTTACTGAAAGAGGCATGGCCGCGGGAGGGGATGCGCCCCGAGAGGCAATCCACCTTACCTTCCCAAGGGCCAAGGCACGCGGTATACGTACCGATCCAGGTCCACGAATTGGGAGGAGGAACTTGGGGTGAAGGACAGACTGGATCTGGCCACCTGGAAAGGGGGTCTTCCCGGAATATCCATGGCCCCGCACCGCACCGCACCGCACCTTCCACACCTTTCGTTGTCAACCTATATCCGAAGTTCTCTGGTACTGCCTGAAGGTCCATGGTTCATGTAACGGTGTACATACTGCTGACAGAGCACCTCGGAGAGTTGATGAGGGACTTAGGCTGTCCAAGGTCAGTGGACCCGTCTCTGGGTACCTGCGTTGGCTTCGTGTCTCTGGCGTACGGTGTTTATGAGGCCCCTCTTGACAAGATGGCTGGAGAGTCTATGCTTTCGCAGATGTCGCTAAAGAATGGAGAAACAAGCTTCCCATACTCCGTAGAGACATCATACCCAGCGCTCTGTAACCTCCATACCCACTGCGAATAGGGATGTACTCGGACTGGAGTAAAATCGAGAAAATCCACTTTTCTGCTGAGGTAGGTCAGTGAAGAAACACGGCAAGCAGGCAGTCCCTTTTCCAGGCAGTTTTCAGGTGAAGTGGATGTACCTTCCTTTCCTGTGCTGACGGAGACGGGAATAGCGCACCTTACGTTGGTACGAGTTGGTAGGGGTCCGGGCGGTGTTAAGTTGGATGGGCAGAAGTTGAACGACGACACCCTTCCCTTTGATCCCTCCACTTCGACGTTCCCCAGGCTCAATCGGTACGTACTCGTTGACCCTTACCTAAGGTAGGAACCTACCTTACCAGGCGTGGGGTGCCAGGTGGTGAGGTGAGGTGAGATCGGAAAGTGGTGCTTTCCCCCTTGCCATTTGCTTGCCGGGGTCCGAGGACCCACTCTTCTACCAAAGGGGGCAACGTTAGGTTGAACAAGGGGAGAGAGCGACCCACCTTGCTCATCCAAGCCAGATACCTAGATACCTCAAGTCAAGGAAGGAACGTGGAGTGCGGTGGGCGTCCGCCCCCCGTGGGCCGTCGATTAGGTAGGTACTCGAGTCGACGACTTAGGTTCTTCGAGAGCCGCAAGCCGCAAGCCGCAGCCCACCATTTGTCCGCATCCGCCGGTCGTCCCCCCCCCCCTACCACGGTCAAGTCCGACGACTTCAGCCAGCTTTTTCTCCGATGTTCACCCAGCGACGTCGCATCCTTCTTCCAGCCATCAGCCTCTTCTGTCGTCCCGACATGGACATCCATCGACAAGGGCTCTCTCGATAACCCACGTCGATATGCATTCCATCTACATCCGATGCATCAGCAAACACCACTATTCAAATCCTTCGATTTTCTCCCTTTTGAACGCCAAAATCATGATCGTCCCTAGGCCCTGAAGCCCCAAAAGGAGGGGGCGTGTGGTTCGCCGGTGGGATTTCTATCTCTGGGGTTCATTTCGCTTTGGCAATGTCCTTGGGGATGTCCGTCGGACAAAGCGTCGACTCAGCGCCCACCCCCACAACAACACAATCCGCAACCCGCAATCTACCTACGCAACGTCCATCCACCCTGTTTACTCACTGTCCATACGAGCTCTCCTCGATGAATCAGACAGGCCTACCCCCAGCCGACTTGCCTGACACGCCGTCTTTTCCATGTGGGGAATCCGCATCGCGAGCTGTGTGAGGCCCAGTCTGCGTACCTGGGCTGGTTCGTGTTCCGGAGTTTCACCAGACCGTTTCTACCATGGTGCCGTATGCTGCCACCCTGCGTGGCCATGTTTCGCATCTTTGGTCTGCTTACCTTCTTCAGTACTCTCCTCATGGCTTCTGGTGCAGGCTGGAGGTGGTCCGGTCTCGACGTCCTTCTGATGCCAGCCCTGCTCCCAGGTTGAATCCTTTCCAGTACCCTCGACTGCACCCAACCAAGTAATTATCGAGCCTACCTTAACGGACTGTACGCTTCTCAAACCCGTTTCACCGCTTTCGATCTTCTTCTGGCTGTTAACGCTTCGGAAATCGAAACTCGTTTCCTTCGACTGTCATGCGAGCTTGCTCGAAACGCGTCCCGTCGCTTGCGAGTCTGTTACTGTACAGCCCTACGCCACCTGCCTACCCTATACGGTAGCCGGCTGCTGCATTCTGTATCTTCTCGTCAGGTAGCCCAGGCAACTCTCATTATGCCATCACGTCATGTCTGGCCAAGATGCACTTGACGTGCCCCACCGACAGTGTCACTTACTGCTTACTTACAAGCACAGCTCAAGATGCGCGCTTTCGGAGGAAGGCCGATACATGTACAAACGATACACGAGCCGGCACATCCTCTATCCCTCGCCCCACGGCGCCGGCCTGGGTGTGCGGATCCTCAAGAGTGAGAAACATTGGACAAATGCGTGAGCGAGGACCTGCTCTGCCTTGATTCCGCCAGAGTTCCCGCGCTGCGGCCTATTGTGGTCCTTCCTCTGTCTGTCCGGCTGCCCGTTCGCTCAGCATAGATGAATTGGCGTAGGGAAGCCCGTGTGGCGGCCTCGATCGCTTGCCCTGAACCAATGGGCCTCGACCGATGCGGCAAGACACTGAAAATCATCCATGAACTTCGGTCACCGAGGATGCTCAGGGCCGGACTGACGCTAGCCACCCGGGCGAGAAAAGGATGGGTCCTAGTGGGAACGAAGGGAAGGGGGTGCACTGGGGCGTGCGGCTACTTGGGATGTTTTTGTTCACGCACCCCCCTTTTTCCCTCACTCCCTCTTGCCAGCATGTGTTGCATGTTGCGATTGATTCCGCTATCCATCAGCCATGACATTGACAGCTGGGTTGAGTAATTCGGGAGATGGTCTGTTGTTGGGTTGGTGTACACACCCGTTGCCCGTCCTGTCTCGAGCCCATCTCAGTCATATAAGTTCAAGAGACTCTCCCGGCATCCTCACCACCTTTTCTTGTTGGAGCACCGGAACCTCATCACCCTAGGAAATCTATGTCGACAACCCTTCAAGATGGCCGACATGATGTCTTATCTCCTCTTTGGAGATCAGTCACTTGATACCCATGGATTTCTCGCCGAGTTCTGCCGTTCAGGGAATCCGAGCACCCTTGCGAAGACGTTCCTCGACCAGGCTGGCCAGGCTTTGAGGGAGGAGATCGATGGTTTGGGGAAGTTGGAACGGTCGAAGCTCCCCACGTTCCTATCACTCCGACAACTCAACGAGCGATATCACGCCCAGAGCATCAAGCACCCGGGTATCGACAGTGCCCTGCTGTGCATCACTCAGCTGGCCCACTACATCGAGTACGTCGCCTGGACAATTAGCGGAGGCCTCTTGATCTCGTTACTAACACGCGTCTAGCCGCAACGAAAAGGAGCCGCAAGATGTTTCTGTCCACGAACACACTTTCTTCATGGGTCTTTGCACGGGGCTTTTCGCCGCCGCTGCCATCGCCTCGACCCCCTCAGTCTCTACCTTGATACCCCTTGCCGTTCAGGTAGTCCTCATGGCCTTCCGAACCGGCACCCACGTCGGCTCGTTGGCCGAGAGGCTTAGCCCGCCGGTCGGTCAATCTGAACCCTGGACCCATATCCTTCCTGGCCTGAAGGAATCCGATGCCAAAGAGGCACTTACTAATTTCCATGAATCTAATGTAAGTCTCTGCTGCTTTTGAATCTGCACCGTCTGCGCTTGTCTGACTTTCCTGCAGTACATCCCAGTCGCCAGCCAAGCATACGTTAGCGCTGTGTCGGCAACAAGCCTGGCGATCTCAGGACCGCCGGCCACTCTCAAGGCTCTTGAGGATCAAAATGTGTTCGGTGTCAAGCCGACTGCTATTCCAGTTTACGGACCCTACCACGCATCACACCTGCACGGAACCGCCGATATTGAGAAGATTCTGCGCCTCAACGACCCCAAGGTCGCCGAGGTCTTGGCTAAGACCAAGCCTCGCTCTGCCATCATGTCAGGTACCAAGGGCACTTGGTTCGCTGAGACGGACACCAAGTCTCTCATCAAGTCCGTCGCACATGAGTGTCTCATCGACGTCCTTCAATTCCAGAAGGGCATTGAGGGATGCATCGGGACTGCTCGTGACTTCGAGGGATCTACATGCCTCGTTATCCCGTTCGGCCCCACCCACAACGCCGAGACTCTTTCCAAGTTGATCAAGGATCGCACACAGTTGGATGTGATTATCCGCCCCGGACCCAGAATCCAGAGAGAGAGCTACAACTCTCCCATTGGCAATCACGGTTCCAGTGGAAAGTGCAAGCTGGCCATCGTTGGCATGGCTGGTCGATTCCCCGACGCCGCCAGCCACGAGAAGCTTTGGGAGCTCCTCTCCAAGGGTCTGGATGTGCACAGGGTCGTGCCTGCGGACCGTTTCCCGGTTGCAACCCATTACGACATTACTGGCAAGGCTGTGAACACCAGTCACAGTCAATACGGTTGCTGGATTGAGAATCCGGGATACTTCGACCCCCGATTTTTCAACATGTCTCCCCGAGAGGCTTTCCAGACCGATCCCATGCAGCGTATGGCCCTTACCACTGCCTACGAGGCTCTTGAGATGTGCGGTTATGTGCCCAACAGGACTCCCTCCACAAGATTGGACCGCATCGGTACCTTCTACGGCCAGACCTCTGACGATTGGCGTGAAATCAACGCCGCTCAAGAGGTCGACACCTACTACATCACGGGCGGTGTCAGAGCATTCGGCCCCGGTCGTATCAACTACCACTTCGGTTTCAGTGGTCCCAGTTTGAACGTTGACACGGCCTGCTCATCCAGTGCGGCAGCTCTCAATGTTGCCTGCAACTCCCTGTGGGTTAAGGACTGTGACACTGCCATCGTCGGTGGCCTTTCCTGCATGACCAACCCGGACATTTTCGCCGGATTGTCTCGCGGTCAGTTCTTGTCCAAGACTGGGCCTTGTGCCACCTTCGACAATGGCGCTGACGGTTACTGCCGTGCCGATGGCTGTGCTTCCGTCATTGTCAAGCGTCTGGATGATGCCGTCGCCGACAAGGATAACATCCTGGCCGTGATTCTGGGCACTGCAACCAACCACTCCGCTGACGCCATCTCAATCACTCACCCTCACGGACCTACCCAGTCCATCCTGTCGAGACACATTCTCGACGAGGCGGGTGTGGACCCTCTTGACGTTGACTACGTCGAGATGCACGGAACTGGCACACAGGCTGGCGACGGCACTGAGATGCTTTCAGTGACTAACGTCTTTGCCCCTGCTGACCGCAAAAGAGCTGCTGACCGCCCTCTGTACCTCGGTGCCGTGAAGTCCAACATTGGTCACGGCGAGGCCGCTTCTGGTGTCACTGCCCTCACGAAGGTTCTCATGATGATGAAGAAGAACGCGATCCCTCCCCATGTTGGTATTAAGAAGGAGATCAACAAGGGTTTCCCCAAGGACTTGTCAGAGCGCAACGTCAACATTGCATTCCACCTCACCCCCTTCAAGAGGAGAGATGGCAAGCCCAGACGCATCTTCGTCAACAACTTCAGTGCCGCTGGTGGTAACACCGGTCTTCTCCTGGAGGACGCACCCATCGTGCCGTCTTCTGAGGCCGATCCTCGCAGTGTACAGGTTGTTACCGTCACCGGCAAGTCCAAGGCTGCCATGATCCGCAACGCCGAGAGACTTGTTGGGTGGATGGAGCAGAACCCTGAGACTCCCCTCTCCCACGTGGCCTACACTACCACTGCTCGTCGCATCCAGCACTACTGGCGCATGAACGTTGCTGCTTCGGACCTGCCCGAGGCCCAGCGTCTCTTGAAGGACAGGCTCAAGGAGAATTTCACTCCTATCTCCACCCAGCAACCCAAGGTTGCCTTCATGTTCACAGGCCAGGGCTCACACTATGCTGGTCTCGGCAAGGACCTCTACGCTCACTACCACGTCTTCCGCGACAGCATCGACGAGTTCAACCAGCTCGCTCAGATCCACGGCTTCCCCAGCTTCCTGTCCTTGATCGACGGTAGCGAGCCCGATGTCACCAAGCTGTCCCCTGTTGTCGTGCAGCTTGGCCTCTGCTGTTTTGAGATGGCTCTCACCCGGCTTTGGGCTTCCTGGGGAATTCTCCCCAGCGCTGTCATGGGCCACTCTCTCGGCGAGTATGCTGCTCTCAACGCTGCCGGTGTTCTGTCTGCCAGCGACACCATCTACCTTGTTGGAGCTCGCGCCCAGCTCTTGGTACAGAAATGCACCGCTGGCACTCACGCAATGCTTGCTGTCACCGGCCCTGTTGAGGCTGTCATGGAGGCCCTTGGTGCCCAGGCTGAGGATGTTAATGTTGCTTGCATCAACGGTCCTCGCGAGACTGTTCTCAGCGGTGCTGCTGCCAAGGTTTCCGAGATCTCCTCGCACCTGGGCACTGCTGGCTTCAAGTGCACCCAGCTCAAGGTCCCCTTCGCCTTCCACTCTGCTCAGGTTGATCCCATCCTGGATGACTTCGAGACTCTCGCTCGCTCCGTGAGCTTCGACCTGCCGCGTGTTCCCATTATCTCGCCCCTCCTTGGCAAGATGGTTGAGCACGAGCCCATCAATGCTGCTTACCTTCGCAACCACGCTCGCGACGCTGTCAACTTCCTTGGCGGACTTGTTCACGCCCAGCAGTCCGGCACCGTTGACGAGAAGACTGTTTGGCTCGAGGTTGGCCCCCACCCCGTTCTTGCCAACTTTGTCAAGTCTTCCTTCGGCATTAGCTCTGTGGCTGTTCCCACCCTCCGCCGTAACGAGCCTACCTACAAGATTCTCAGCAACACCTTGTGCGCTCTCCACACTGCTGGCATCAACTTGGATTGGGATGAATTCCACCGCGACTTCACCAACTGCACTCGTCTCTTGGACCTCCCGACCTACTCATTTGACGAGAAGAACTACTGGCTCCAGTACACTGGCGATTGGTGCCTTACCAAGAACCGCGGTCCTTCCGCAGTCAAGGCTCCTCTCCAAATCGAACCTGCTAGGCCCAAGCTGTCGACCACTTCGATCCACGCCGTCACCAATGAGGACATCAAGGGTGACATTGCTCTAATCGAGACCGAGACTAACCTCTCGCGTCCTGATACTCGCCCTCTCGTCGAGGGACATCTGTGCAACGGTGCACCTTTGTGTCCTTCCACCCTCTACGCCGATATGGCCATGACAGTCGCCGACTATGCCTACAAGATGCTTCGCCCTGACACCGAGAACATTGGTTTGAACGTTGCCAACGTCGAGGTGCCCAAGACTCTCATTTTCAATGAGAAGATTGACGCCCATATTCTTCGCACCACTGTCACAGCCAACGCTACCCTGGGCTATGCCGACGTCAGCTTCCACACTGGAGAGGGCGCTAAGAAGACTGAGCATGCTACGTGCAAGGTAATCTACGGCAGCACCGAGCAATGGGCCGACGAGTTTGAGCGTGTAAGCTATCTCATTAAGGGCCGCATTGATGCCCTCGAAGAGGCTGAGAGGCAGGGCAAGGCTTCCAAGATTGGTCGCGGCCTGACTTACAAGCTTTTCACCGCCCTCGTCGACTACGATACGAAGTATCAGGGTATGGAAGAAGTTATCCTTGACAGCAAGGCCTGCGAAGCTACCGCCAAGATCAGCTTCCAGACCACCGATAGGGACGGCAACTTCTTCTTCAACCCTTACTGGATTGACAGCTGTTGCCACATTTCTGGTTTCATCATCAACGGTACTGACGCCATTGATTCGCGCGAGCAAGTTTTCATCTCCCACGGTTGGGGCTCCATGAGATTCACTGAGAAGCTCGATGCTTCGAAGTCGTACCGCTCCTACGTCCGCATGCAGCCTGTCAAGGGTACCAAGATGATGGCTGGTGATGCTTATGTCTTTGACGGTGATCGCCTCATCGGTGTTGCTGGTGACGTCAAGTTCCAGTCAATCCCCCGCAAGGTCCTCAACATGGTCCTTCCCCCTCGTGGCAGAGCTGCTGCCGGTGCCGCACCGATCGCCGCTGCTCCGGCGCCCAAGGCTGCTGCCCCTGCCAAGGCTGCACCCGCCAAGGAGAAGAATGGCAAGGAGAAGGCTTCTAAGCAGGTTACTGCGAGCAATCTCAAGGCTGTCAACGCCAAGCTCTCCAAGCGGTCCGTTGTGCAAGACGTCTTTGACATCTTGGCCAAGGAAGTTGGTGTGACCCATGACGAGCTGGCAGACAACATCGCCTTCACTGATCTGGGCTGTGACTCGCTGATGGCTTTGACTGTCTCTGGCAGAATGCGCGAGGAACTCGACATTGACATCGACTCCCATGCTTTTGTCGAGTACCCGACCATCGGAGCCTTCAAGGTCTTCCTCGGTCAGTTCGAGACTTCTGGAGGTAAAGACAGCTACGTCCAGGACTCTGGCGACTCTAGCGGCTCTGTCTCTGAGACGCCTGAGCTTGAGTCCGATTCAAACGTCACCACCCCCTACGAGGAGAGTGATCGATCCGTCAAGGGTGATGCCGAGGACGAGGATTGCGATGACCTCCAGAACATTTTGCGCGAAACCATTGCCACTGAGATGGGTGTCGAAGTGGAAGAGATTGTTGCCGCTCCCGATCTGGCTGCCCTCGGCATGGATTCTCTGATGAGTTTGTCCATCCTGGGCACTCTCCGTGAGAAGTCTGGGCAAGATATTCCAAATGATCTCTTCGTCACGAACCCCTCGCTCTTGGAGGTTGAGAAGGCTCTTGGCATTGGCCCAAAGCCGAAGGCTGCTGCCGCCGCACCAAAGCCTGCGAAGGCTGCCCCGGTGTCTCGCCGCGAGAAGGTGGAGCCTACCAAGGAGATTAACACTCACCCTGGCAACACCACTGCCTCCATCACCAAGCCCCCTCCACCCAGAGAGATCATCGACAACTATCCCCACCGCAAGGCTACTTCAATCCTTCTTCAGGGCAGCACTCGCACTGCCACCAAGAACTTGTGGATGGTTCCCGACGGCAGTGGTTGCGCCACTTCCTACACCGAGATCAGCCAGGTCTCCAGCCAGTGGGCTGTATGGGGCCTCTTCTCCCCCTTCATGAAGACACCTGAGGAGTACAAATGTGGTGTCTACGGCATGGCTTCCAAGTTCATTGAAGCCATGAAGGCAAGGCAGCCGAAAGGTCCCTACTCCTTGGCCGGTTGGTCTGCGGGAGGTGTTATCGCCTACGAGATTGTCAACCAGCTCACCAAGGCCGGTGAGAGTGTCGAGAACCTCATCATCATCGATGCTCCCTGCCCAATCACTATTGAGCCCCTTCCCAAGAGTCTCCACGCCTGGTTCGCCTCTATTGGCCTTCTCGGCGAGGGTGACGACGACAACAAGAAGATTCCCTCATGGCTCCTCCCTCACTTCGCCGCCAGTGTTACTGCCCTCAGCAATTACACTGCGGAGCCAATCCCCAAGGAGAAGTGCCCCAACGTTATGGCCATTTGGTGCGAGGACGGTGTCTGCCACTTGCCCTCCGACCCCCGCCCCGACCCCTACCCCACGGGTCATGCTCTGTTCCTTCTGGACAACAGAACCGACTTCGGTGCCAACCGTTGGGATGAGTACCTGGATATCAACAAGTTCAGGACCAGGCACATGCCTGGCAACCACTTCTCCATGATGCATGGCGACTATGTGAGTCCAAGACACCCTTTACCCACTTTGAACTATCAACTAATTTCCTCCCCAGGCCAAACAACTTGGACAGTTCATTCGTGAAGCAGTTTGCGAGTAAGGAACTACATAGCGAAGCATATGAGTACACGTCTGCAGGGTATAGAAGGGACACAGGACATTACATGACGAGGCGAGCATGATATGAGACTGACTTTATTTTTCCTTTTACTACATTGTCCATTTCTTCTTGTCATCATTTCTTTTTTCTGTCTTAACATTTGATATCCGCTCCCTGTACAAGTGCGACCGGCATACATCTACGAATCATTCCTTATTTACGTCGATGGACGGATACTGGGGTTGGGAATTGGGAGGAGGGATACTCACACTACGAGGGGCGTAACTGTCTCATAATGCTCGACTTTTCCTATCTGTCACGATCTTGTCATTTTTTTCTTGTCTTTCCTTACAACCACAACATGGCTTTCGGTGTTTAGTGTTTCTATTTTGAACGGTCCATAGAATGTACGCTCTTGCCGTACCCCCATAAGATAGTAGTACTTTGAGTTCAAATTCACAAAGTCGAAATAACTTGCCTCTTCCCCTTGCCACTATAGTGAATCAATCTGAGCCGCCAATGCATCGGGCGCAGGTTTCCTACCCCCAAGTTGATTCGTGGTTGTTTCACTCCCCCCTCGCCTCTTCGTCTCATTGTTTGACATCAAATTACCTGTCTTGTCAAAGTCTGTCTCATCCCAACTCCGTATTCTTATTTTTCGCGGTAAGTTACCCTCACAGGGCTCCAGAGGTTCCAGAGTGAAGGGGTATGGTCTCTAGTATGGTCTAAAAGCAGCTAGCCCTTCGGATGGTTGCTTCGCGTAGATACTTGCGATGGCATTTTTCCTGTCCGATTCAAGTCCCGATTTGTGCAAAGTTTTTTTTTTCCTCGTCAGAGTCGTGGTCCCATCTCTTTTCAAATGATGGAGAGAGACATCTTGGATGGCAACCTCACTCCATCTGCATGCTCATCTCAATGGGAAAGGGGTCATCCACGATTCTCCAACTCCGCGGACCCTTGACTAACTTGTCAATCAGAACTCACCTTCTTGAATCGCCCACGCCCCTCCCACCCCCCTCTCTGCCGCTCCTTTGAGCATTCTGATACTTCCCACTCCAGAAATACAACCTCGGCAATCAATCTCTGTTCATAACCATAAAAATTGTGTCGCCCATGTCCTAGTCCATCCCGATTCGTAGGGCATATCCGTCCCGTTAGGGTCCCTTCGAAGATCCTCACCGTTCCCATTGCCCCCCATCTGATGCGCTCCTCCCCCCTTCCCAGGGGGCAAAGTCATGGGACAAGGCACACGCGAAACGAGGCAAGGCGACAAACCTTAACAAAGGCCTATCGCCGCAAGAAGTGTTTATGTGTTCTGGGGGAAGGGAAGGGGGGGGGGGGGGGGGCGACAGATCGGGCCCTCCTCAAGCCTCTGTCCAGTTTTCTTCTCCGATGAATCGAGCAGCTATCGCGATCGCCACCAGAAAACGCGGTTCTATCTCTTGTATACGGCGCTGCCTGCCATCATCCCACCCGGGAGCCACACGGCCAAGGAGTTTCAAACCCCGTGCCCGCTGTAGACAACGTCTGCCTGATTAGAACACTTCCGACTTGATAATGCATTATGAGCCACATGGAACAGAATGAACACACCTGGGACCGGGTGGCTCGATCATCTCAAGACCCCGATGTGTGTCTTTGGGGCAGTGCCTCTGATCGAAAAGCAGCATACGGGGTACGGGTACGATAGGCCATGGCGACAAGATATCCTCGACTCCTAACTCCATCCGAGGGCCAAGTCGGCAGCATGATCACGCGCTGCTCGGAATAGACCTCGAGTCGTCCGTAGGTTCTTGCAGATCACCATCTGCGATCCGAGTCCGTAATCTGGCAACCCGACAGAGTGACCTAAAAGATCACCCAATGTACTCCTTGTACATGGACATACACACACGCACCTCTGCCACCCCGAACCCGATACCACCGCGTGGTCTCAAATGCCACATGACCCTCCCTTCCTCCTTCTGGTCTGCCCCGGATTCCCTCCCGAGTCAATCTCGAACGAGACCGAGGCGTTCCAGAATTCCCCTTGGCCATTCATTCTTCTTACCCCCCCTCCCTCGTCACCTTCTTCGCTACCGGGGTAGGAAGCGTTCTGGATCAAGGCCCGCGTGGCCGTCCGTTGCCCGCGTTTGTCTCAGGAGCCTTTTCAATGTCGACGCTGTCTTGGAAGGGATACCACGTGCATATCCGCCAGGCACATGACCACGCGCGCGCGCGCGCGCTCAAGTGTGGACACTGGTCCATAGGATCTCTGAGGAGCTGTGTCGCGAACAAACAGTGTTCTTCACGCCGGTCTGGTATATGAGTATGCATCAACCATCCTGTTGCTATATTTTGTCTCGTTTCGTCATCTCTCCATCACGAATACTGGGCATAAATGGATCAAGACCCATCAAGTGAGACAAGTCAGACTTTAGCCCCGGCCTCGCATGCACCAGGCATCTTCACAGGGAGCCGCGAGTGTGAGTGCTCAAGAGCTCTCCTCGCGTAGCAGGGACCATGTGTCGTCGAGACCGATACAGGCGAGACGACCGGCATCGGTTGCGACCAGGGCAAGGGGCGAGACGCCTGAGAGAACGAATGGCTTAGCCGCGTAGGAAGACGTTGCGCACCGGAGTCTGCATCCATTATCTTCCGCTGGTGCCCATCGACTTCCGCCTGCATGTGGAGTCTGCATTATCATCATCTTCGTGGAGTCTAGAAAAGGACGCTGTTCCTATCCGAGAAGGGGGCCCTTCGGCGACCGGCAACATCGACGTCGCATTTGCCGGGTCGATTTATATCCACCCACATGGAGGCCCGCTCCCATGCGGCTCCCCGTCGGTATGCACCCATCGAGTTGAACGCAAGCCCCAACGGTATCTGATAGCCGTCAGCAGCGCGTCTCCCGTCAATCCTTGCCATGATCCTGTCCAGGGATCCAAGTTTGGGGTTCGGGGCATTCGCAGCGTGTTTCGGCAGCATCTCCCAGCTGTGGGAAAAAAGGAGCGACCTCATTTCCCGCAGTAGGGTTCCTTGTGCGACATGAGAGGTGCTATGAGAACACAGTCGATGACCAGTGCAATCAGTAAAGACCCTTGCAAATTGCCACAAAAGTGTCGGTAAGTCGCCATCTCGAGTCCTGTGACCGGGACTATCGACTGTTGTATCACACCTCTGCGATACGAGATATCCGGCTCAAGGAACCTAGAGAGATAACTGCTGAGCGCGCTGCAGTAGAGAAAGAAAGCGACCCTTGGTACGCCAGTCCCCTCTTCTTCACGAGGACGCTACCGGATACATGGTAGACGCATACTAGCAGCACGGCTTGCTGTCTGGTGCCATGTAACCGACACTTGTCGGTCTTGCTCCAATGCATTGCCCCGAGCAGATGCAACTGGTGCATCGTGGGATGGCCAGCCGCACCGTGGGATGCGAGAGACGTTCCTCCCTTTCGGACGTAAAATGTAATAGCAGAAAGGCTTGGCCCCATATCTTCGCCAAATGTCATCGTCATTATCCCTGCACCTGGCGCTGCCGTACCAGCATCCCGGAGAAAAAAAAAGGCCCCGGTATTACATCTCAGGTGAACCTCATGGCCTAACTGGAAACAAAAAAGGTCCTCTCGGCACATTACATTCTCGTCTTGGACGTCAAGACTCTGGTATCGTGACCCACACGGAGCTTATGCTGTGGTAGCACTACTACACGACTGCGCGAAGTTTTCGGGCGGCAAGCCGTTGACTTATTATCCAGCTAGAGTGTGCTTGGTCAATCTCTGGTCCAATGGTCCAGCTGGCTCGCGAGGGGGATGAAATGAATGTTGTGATTTCAATCGCAAAGTGAATAGGGGGGG